TCCAAAGGTTCACCAGGATCCTAGGGAGAGTGATGGACATGTAACAGATTTCCAAGGAGGAAAAATTTGCCAGAAAAAAATACATGGGTTTCTGCAGTGCAGGGTCAAGGCAAGTTATTATTATTAAGAGGTTATTTCCAGTTAAGATAATGATGTAAATGATGGAGAACACTCCAAACAGTAACCCTTGGAGGTTTGGAAGGTCAGAAAACCCCAGGAGAACAAATTGTATAACTGTGGATATGTTGTCTTCTGATTCCATCTCTTCATATTTCATCTGTGGGAATGATTCAATCCGAAGTACCATTATTTCACTTTTTGACTTTTGTTTCCTTATGTATAAACAGGATTCTATGTCCTCTTATTTTTCCAATTCCCTAAAGAAACAAAACCTATTACTAATAAGACCCGTGAAAGTATAGTGAAACATATTTTTCATTAATGTTAAATATATTTTTAAGAAAATATATCTCTAATTTTCTTGAAGAGATCTCTAGTCTTTCCCATTCTATTGTTTTCCTCTATTTCTTTGCATTGGTCTCTGAGGAAGGCTTTCTTATCTCTCCTTGCTATTCTTTGGAACTCTGAATTCAAATGCATATATCTTTCCTTTTCTCTTTTGCTTTTGGCTTCTCCTCTTTTCACAGCTATTTGTAGGACCTCCTCAGAGAGCCATTTTGTTTTTTTGCATTTCTTTTCTTGGGGATGGTCTTGATCCCTATCTCCTATACAATGTCACAAACCTCCATCCATAGTTCATCAGGCACTCTGTCTATCAGATCTAGTCGCTTAAATCTATTTCTTACTTCCACTGTATAGTCATAAGGGATTTGATTTAGGTCATACCTGAATGGTCTAGAGGTTTTCTCTACTTTCTTTTATTTAAGTCTGAATTTGGCAATAAGGAATTCATGATCTGAGCCATGGTCAGCTCCCTGTCTTGTTTTTGCTGACTGTACAGAGCTTCTCCATCTTTGGCTGCAAAGAAGATAAGCAATCTGATCTTGGTGTTGACCATCTGGTGACGTCCATGTGTAGAGTCTTCTCTTGTGTTGTTGGAAGAGGGTGTTTGCTATGACCAGTGTGTTCTCTTGGAAGAACTCTATTAGCCTTTGCCCTGCTTCATTCTGTACTCTAAGGTCAAATTTGCCTGTTACTCCAGGTGTTTCTTGACTTCCTGCTTTTGCATTCCAGTCTCCTATAATGAAAAGGACATCTTTTTGGGGGTGTTAGTTCTAGAAGTTCTTGTAGTTCTTCATAGAACCATTCAACTTCAGCTTCTTCAGCATTACTGGTTGGGGCATAGACTTGGATTACCGTGATATTGAATGGTTTGCCTTGGAAATGAACAGAGATAATTATGATGTTTTTGAGATTGCATCCAAGTACTGCATTTCGGACTCTTTGGTTGACTATGATGGCTACTCCATTTCTTCTAGATATTCAGTGATTTGCTAATGTTTACATATACTTTCAGTATGGAAATCCAATATATGTGGCAGTTATTAATTGATTCTCTCTTTTGTCAAGTATGTTGGCTGTCACAGAATAATGACCCTCAAAGACACATTTTATAAGGAAGGTTGAGTGCCGAAGAATTGATGCTTTTAAACTGTCGTGTTGGAGAAGACTCTTGAGAGTACCTTGGACTGCAAGAAGATCAAGCCAGTCAATCCTAAAGGAAATCGATCCTGAATATTCATTGGAGGGACTGATGCTGAAGTTAAAGCTCCAATACTTTGACCACCTGATGCGAAGAGCCAACTCTTTAGAAAAGCCCCTGATGCTGGGAAAGACTGAAGGCAGGAGGACAAGGGGATGACAGAGTTCAAGATGGTTGGATGGCATCACCAATGCTATGGACATGAGTTTGAACAAGCTCCAGGAGATGGTGAAGGACAGAGAAGCCTGGCATGCTGTAGTCCGTGGGCTCACAAAGAGTTGGACACAACTGAGCGACTGAAGAGCAATAACAACATGCCTATATGTGACAACCTTGTGTGTGCGTGCTAAGTCACTTCAGTGGTGTCTGCTTGCGTCACCCTATGGACTGTCGATAGCCAGGCTCCTCTATCCATGGGATTCTCCTGGCAAGAATACTGGAATGGGTTGCCATGCCCTTCTCCAAGGTATTGTCCCAATCCAGGGATCAAACCCACGTCTCCTGCAGCTCCTGCATTTCAGTCTGATTTTTTACCACTGAGACACTGGGGAAGGCCGTATATGACAACCTTAATCATTTGAAACATAATCAGTTCAATTAATTCATCTAGAAAACTTCACATCTGAGTTACTGCATGCACATACACAAACTCTTTTTATCTATGTATCTATTATCTATCTAAATGCTTTAAACACAAAATATAAATATACATATATAAATATGTATATCTTTTGTGTGCAAAGCTTATTATGGAAAAGCTCAACCATCTTCCTTTTTGAAATTTCAACATCATCTCTCTAAAAGTTTGTTTCATAATTTATATATATATATTTTAACTCTTCCCTTAGACCATGTGTTTACCTTCTCTTTATCTTCCAATTCTATTATTCTATTTCCATATATGTTCTCTATACTAATTATATGATAGTGAAATAAGCTTACATGCTTTCATGTCACAGCTAAAGAAATAGTTTATTGATATAAAGGTTACATATAGCAAAACACTATTCCAAGAAACAATTATACATATGATACCTATATAAATATAAATATACAGCTATCTTTTAAAAAAGGAAAGAAAGAGATGTCTACCATTATTCTCTGAACTTTCTTTTCCAGCAAAGAATCCATAGCTATTAATACAATCCAGATGCACAATGAAAACATATTCACTTTTCACTTTCCCTGAATCAGGCTATTAATCTTGGAAAGATTTTGCACATAGTATTGACCTTCCCATCCTTTGTTGTCAGTTGACTTCAGTCCACAAAAGCAATATTATCCTAAAGTACATACACACACAGACAAGCATGTATACCTACATAAATGAATATCTGTTTTTGTGTTTCTAAATAATAAAATTGTGTTTGCTTAGTTTCTCAGGATTATAGGTGACTTGTTCCAGGAATAGTACAATGCAAAGTAGTAACAAAAGAGTATGTTGCTAATAAAGATATTTGTAATTCACAAAGCATTGGTAGCATTTGCACACATTCATTATGTTTTAAAAACAAGTGATACAGATACAGATTTTTGGCAAGCTATTACCACTGAATGGGGTAACTAGTTTAGATATGGTTTGTTAGTTGCCAAGCCAAAGTGAAAATAATTTCTGAAGCTGTCCACTGACATTTTTAGCTTGTGAAACTTCAGTAACTACCCAAAAAAGTCATAATGCTCCAAGATATCACTCTTATTTGCCATTCTCTATAAAAAGAGAGAGATCCAATCACATCTGATTGATATATCAGTATTTTTAAATGTTGCCCCCCCATTAGTTATTTCTTTTCTCTAAAAAAGTTTTTTTTTTTTTAATTAGGCAGGAAGGAGAGAAAAAAGAGAGGATTTCTTAATTTCTGTCTCAATCTTTTCAACATATAATAGTTTCAGGATTTATCCAACTTCTGCCTAGAAATGTTCCTGGAATTCTGGTGTTGCTGTTATTATATTTCTCTTTCTTTTAACCTCCCCGGTATTCAATCATTTCCATTAGATTTCAGTAGGTTATGATAGCCGTATTATCTGTGAATCGTGGTGATTTATTTTTTACTTGGTTCTCAGTAAGAGTCAGTTTTTCCTTCTTCACTTTATTATCAGAATTGGTCACATGTCATCTGGCTGTTTTCTCCCAGGGAGAAAGTGTTACTGCACCTCCCTATCCATGTGGAAGTAGCCAGTGCTACATAAATGTGAACAGAACTGGCATATATTTTTATGGGAACAAACTTTAAAAGCAACGGTTCAAGCTTCATCATACTTTTTAACTTTGAGTAATGGCGACAGGTCGTATTCCGCAATGATCTATTTCCTGTCTATATGAAGGATTATTTTATATACATGGAATTTTGAAAAATATGTAACTACAGACTAGCACACACGACTAACAATTGCGATTTTCCTTGTCCAGAATGAATACAAATGTATTGTTTGTTATTTTGATTACTTGAATAGCACAAGTTTATTGTAATAAACTGCACAATTTCAATAAAACAAAGGGAAACATAGAATGATTTACTCCGTGATTTCCATAATTAACAATGATGATTATTTTTGTATTGACCATTTTTAATATGTGTATGTTTGTAAGGTTTAAGGTGTACAATACTTGTGCTTTTATAGCAGATACTTACGTTTACAAAAATTTAAATCCTTTCCTTTTTACCCTTAACCTTCCTATCACTACTATCATCTCTAAGAAAATATATTATATGACTTGTGAATATTCCTATCACTTTTTCCAAGCTCATCTTATTGTATGTAAAGATTTCAATAATATCTTTTGTTTTATCCACTCAACAAATCATATTATGGGTTTAATCTGATACACACATAAATGATGCCTAATAATTACTAATATCATTGTACAGCACAGTTTATTAAACTACATTCCCAATGAGAGGTACTTTTCACTCTAAGAAATTATTTCTCTGTAGAATAATTGCTAGGCCAAACTATATATAACATTTTAATTAATGTCCATTACTGACTTAGTTTTAAAAATGTCCGTGACAACTCTATGGAACTGAATAATATGCTTTCCAATAAGTGATATAACTGAATCTGTATTACAACTGGGCCTCTTATAGCAGTTCTTGTCTAAAGGTCTTACTACAAAAGAACATTTCACAATAAGGTTATAGAATTCCCAAGCAAATGATTTGCTATTTGTTGACCCATACACAACTGTATAACTGGAGACAGAAAGGTTTCTCAGTGTTACAAATAATTTTTATTTTGGTAATAACTACCACTTTATAGACAGATAAATTGAGTTTAAGATAAATACCTGTTGAAAATTTGTAACACATACATAAGAAATCAAGTTCTGAAATACAAGTCACTTTTTCAATGATCTAAGGTGTTTACCTGGCCATTTTCTCAGGGCCATCATGACATCCTTGTTCCTTAGACTGTATATCACGGGGTTAAACACAGGCGTCACAATTGTGTAGAAGAGGGAAAGCACTTTGTCAGTTTCTGCTGAGCCTTGCATCTTGGGTCTTAAATATGTGACAATGGCTGATCCGAAGAACAAAGCCACAACCATAAGATGAGATGAGCAGGTAGAAAAGGCTTTGCCCCGACTTGTGGCTGATGGCAATTTAAGGATTGTGGAGATGATTTTGCCGTAGGAGACAAGTATCAACAGAAATGGAATCAAAACAAACAGCACAGCAACTGTGAAGACCAACATTTCATTCAGAAAAGTGTCCCCACAGGCCAGCTTGAGTATGGGAGGGATGTCACAGAAGAAGTGGTTGATGAGGTTAGAACCACAGAAGGGCAGAGAGAAAATCTGGCATGTCTGGCCTATTTGGATTGGGATTCCACTGATCCAGGAGCCAGCCACTAGCTGGATACACACCTTGTGGTTCATAACTAGAGGATAGTGCAGAGGGTTACAGATGGCCGCGTAGCGATCATAGGCCATCACGGCCAGAAGGAAGCACTCGGTGGCTCCAAGTGTAAGAATGAAGCACATTTGTGTGGCACAAGCAGCTAGAGAAATCGTTCTTCTTTGTGTCCCAAGACTTGTGAGCATTCTGGGGAGTGTAACAGACACATAACAGATTTCCAAAAGGGAAAAATTGCCAACGAAAAAATACATGGGGGTCTGGAGACCAGGGTCTAGTTTTGTTATCAGAAATATGATGCCATTGCCCATCAAGATAATTATATAGATGAGTAAGAACAGTCCAAATAAAAACTTCTGGAGATGAGGAACATCAGCAAAGTCCAGGAGAACAAATTCCATCAATTTAGTGAGATTACCTTCTGGTGCTTTTTCTTGATGTTCCATCTGTGAAAAAGGGTAAATGTATTATCTGCTTTTTATTTTTACCATCAGGGATCAGTGCCTGTTTTATAAATTGTATCAGGGTATCCAGGTTGATTTTCATGATCAATGCAACTGCTTCTAATTTAACAATTTTATTATGTATGCATTTCCCCTTTCTCAGTTTATAATCCATGTGTTATCACCATACACTCTCCCTTGAAATATCTTTTACAGCATTCTTTCCGAATACAGTCCAAAGTCAAAAAAGCTAGAGTGTTAGTCGTTCAGTCGTGTCTGACTCTCTGACCCCAAGGACTGTAGCCCGCCGGGCCCCTCTGTCCATGGGATTTCCTAGGTCAGAATACTGGAGTGGGTGGGCATTCCCTTCTCCAGGGAATCTTCGCGACCCAGGGATCAAACGCAGGTCTCCTGCATTGCAGGCGGATTCTTTATCGCCTGAACCACCAGGGAAGCCCCGAATGCTCAGCACAGACATTGGACAAACTGATAGTTATTGAAGATAGACCCACGGTGTTGTTATGTGATCTCAGTTTTAAATACTGACATTATTTTGTGGCCATGTTTCACGGTTTGTGGGATCTTAGTACCCCAACCAGAGGTTGAACCTCAGGCTCATGGCAGTGAAAGTACAGAGTCCCAATCATTGGACTGCTGGGAATTCCCTCAAATATCTACATTTTTGACACTTTTATTGTATTTCTCTATGACTTTACATACTTCAGTAGAACTATTAATATAACAGAAATTATCTCCCTTGTATATTTTCAGCTACATATTTCAACTCTTCATTTCCCTCCCATCACTTATGATCTTGGTCATACATGTTCTTATATACAATTCACATTATTAGGCAGTTTACAAAAAATATGAGAGAATATTTTATTTTATTGTACATAGGGGAATAAAATACATATATTTCAGTAAGATGCTATGTGGGGGCTATCAGAGGGTTTTATTCTGGAAAAGTTGTGTGGGAATAAATAAAGAGAGAAACAATTCAGAGGGTCACTGTGGGAAAAGAAGGGTCAGCTGGAATGTGTTCACTAGCTGTGTAAGATACTTCCTGTCATGCTTTACCCCGTGTTCTGTGTGCATCTCTGATGTCTTTGGTGTTCCTCAAATAATAATAATAATAATAATAATTCAGATAACAGTTTCTAAACTCATTTTTCTTGAGCTAGGATATTGAGAATTAGCAATGATGGATGCATTGCTCATTTGCACATTGGTTTTGTGATTGCAAATCAGTGCCTATTTTTTAAATCATACTTAAGTCTGAATCCTAACTCCGTTATTTATCATTTGTTATATTAAGTAAGTGTTTAAAATTTCTGTTTGCTTTCTTATTTGAGATAATTAAATATGATATTATTGATAAAATTACCTATCACTTTTAATATGTTTAAGTCATAGTCCTATAATTATAAGTATTAATATGGTATAATGCTCTTAAATCCTTAGTTGCCAGGGTTGTAACACACTCCCTGGAAAAATTGTTTTTGGTAGAGTTATTGAGTTACTCATTGATGATTACTTTTTTCCATTTTTTCCTTTAATCAGGGCCAGGAGTAGGATACGGTCTTACCTAAATAAGGGATAAGACTCCTTTAGTACAGAATCTAAGAGCACACACTCAGTTTCAGGGCTGATTCTGCATTGTGCCGTTGTTAAAATGATTGCCTCCTTCAATATTACACTCCAGGCATCACTTGACTCAACATGAGTCCCAGCCCTGCTTCTCAGTTCCCCACCCTTTATGTTTCAAGTTTTTCCACCAAGCACAGTCTAAATATAGTGTCATGGACAAAAAATACAATCCTGACAAGATGGCCTGCAACTAAACCATGGCTTCACTTACCAGCTGTGTGACAAGGCCAAGTGCTTAATCTCCCTGCCCATGGTTCACTTGGCTGCAAAACCGACTTAACGTTGTACTAACAGTTAGCATTGCTACATATATTAGTTCATTTGATACAATAAAGCAACTTAAAGTTGTTTTGGCATTCATAGAAAATCTATTTGAAAGCTAGCTATTAGTGTTTTTATTAAAAGCTAAATTTTATTCTAAATTTCACTCTCTGCTTTAACAGTATGAAAAACTGCTCTCTAATTTACCTTGGCTTGGTATCACATGGTTAATGTGGGGATGAAATAAGATATTAAAACAATCATCACAGTGTTATAAAAATCCCAGACTTTTAGATGTGAATTCTCCACTAAATTTCTGCCAATAATTTAATAATATTATCACCTCTACTCTAGAACTAATAGGGAGAGAGTACATGACTTTGTAGCACATAGTGTTGCAATTTGGCTATTCCTTTCATATACCTTTTTTCTTTCCCACTGATATTACATGATCTAGGATCTAAGGACTGAGATTTAGGAAAATAGTTATTGCATGGTCTAGGAAAATAGTCCTAGTCTTCCTGCTTGGAAGCAATATAGATCTTAGAAAATGCTTGTTTACTTAACATATTGCTCATTATTTGATTCTGAAATTGAGTAAAGGAACAGACACTTTTAATTTAAAATTTTCAATCTTAAAAGAGAGGAAAAATGAATATACAAAAGAACAGAATTGCAATCTCTATCATTTTTATGAATAAAAGCATTTAGTATTTCACTCATTACCTGAATAAAATTATTTCCAGTACTATATAAGATATAATTTCTAATTGTACAGATATGACATTTTGGTGATGAAATCTTGTATAACATGAAATAGGTAAGATTTGAGTTTGAATTGCTCAAGAGTAAAACAAGGTATACTTCAAGTATGTTTGTATATTTGATAAAAATTGGCAACTCAATCCTTGAAAATAATTTAAAAACATTGTTGAAACTAAAGCTATCTTTATTAATTTTATAAATCCTGAATTCTATAATTTTTCAAAATAATTGTTCTTTGAATTCCAATGGTTAAAACTTTATTTTATGTATTGCTTTCTTTTAAATCTCTTATTATAATATCAAACTGAATAGACATATGTAACCTTTTTTGTTACAATATGTGGGCTCAAGTGAAGTTTTCTTTAATACTATCTATACCTAGACTTTAGCTATTACATTTTTTGGCATTTCAAAGTGACTTAATACCATTATTTATTATAATTATTTGATTGCAAATTTTATTTAATAGAATCAGAAGTATATAGAAGTTGCTTTAATGAACAAAAATATTTGCTACCATGTGTAAAATTAATAATTTACACATTAAAAATCTGTGTACATGATTAATTTTAAATTTAAAATAAGAATTAAGCCTTGTTATCATTTTCATAGTTACCTTTCTTACTTGAAATGTTGCTGATTTTTCTCACTAGAGAGGCTTTGAATATTTACTGTAAGTGGAATTACTTGTTTCATCAAAGTAATTCAACTGGCCTTTAAATATTCTATTCTTTCTAAACATAAAGTGCTCTTAAATAAAAGTAGTTATCACTACTCAAGGGATCTCTGCAACTTGGCACATTTAAATTTCTAATTAAAATCATCACTCTTTGAATTCTCTGATTTGTTGTATTTTTTAAAATTTTTCCCAGAAAGCTCTCACTACTCAGAATATTTTTTTTTTTCTTCAGCCTCTCTAGGGAATAGAGGACAGAGTGCATTTTATTTCTCAGATGTGAACAGGGTGCTAAGTAATACTATTTGTGGGCTTCCCAGGTGGTACAGTTGGTAAACAATTGGGCTGCCAATGCAAGAGATGCAAGAGATACAGGTTTGATCCCTGGGTCATGAAATTCACCGTGGAGTAAGAAATGACAACCCACTCCAGAATCCTTGCCTGGAGAATTCCATGGACAGAGGAGCCTCGTGGGCTCCAGAGTCGGACACGACTGAACACACACACACACACACACACAATATTATTTGGGATGATCAAATAGACACGGATTCAATTCTTACCTTAACTGTTAATCGTAGTAGGAGAAAGGTTAATTTTAGCAGGAGAAAATTTTTCCTCTCTTTTGCAGCCTACCACCAAATTTTCCCAATCTTATTTTACATCTTCAAGATGTGAATACTTTCAGCCTCTAGTTACAATGAAATGAGAATCTGGAATAAATCCAGCTGAGATCACGGGAAAGATGCTAAGCAAAAAGTTGTGAGTTATACATTTCAAAAGTGGAGAAATTTCTCCAACATTATTTAAATATCTTGGCTTAGAGCCAGTTTCTCATGACCCCCAAATTGGATGTTGTTCCCAATTATTCAGTAAATAGTGGTCTCTTAAGGTTCATGATTATGAAGAGAAAATATTTACCAGAGAGGGAACACATGGTCATGTGACAGTGGGAGCGACCTGGAAGGGTAATTAAAGAGTATCAGCAGCCCTGCGGCGCAGATCCTGAGCAGCGGGGGCGGGACAGGCTTCTCTCGGGACCGGATGTGGTGAAGGACAGGAAGGAAGTGAGAGGCCAGCCAGGCCGGATCCTGCAGTGGCTCACCCAGGACTCAGCCGCGCTGGGAGGGAGTCACAAGGCCTGTGGCTCAGCGGAGCGCG